GGGGTCACGGCTCCTACTTCAAATGAAACTATTTATTTACACTGTGAACTAAGCAAATATTTTATAGAAATACATTCGCGTATCCACGAGTTAAAAATCAAGGACTTTTCAAMGAAATGTCAAATTCAAGGAGTTTTGAAGGACCTGTGTGCACCCAAAGCAATTAAATACTCTCTGGTTGATACCACACTGAAAAAAGTAATCTGCTAATGAGATTGATCATTATATTCATTCAGCAGATTGTCTGGAAGTAGCTCTTCTAAAGTTTGATGGAAAACTGCTATTAAAAGAAGTGGCGCAACGGATTCTGGAACTGATATTGGGGTCAAGATTAAGGCTCTCAGCTCTGTCCCAAAATTCAGCCCTTGAAACCTATTCACCATAAGTTCTTGCCTTGATTTGGCTGGCCCGTTAAAGCCCATATACTGTAGTAAGAAATATTTAGCAATTATTCGCCAAAGGCGAAGTGAACATCGGGGAATATTTACCGAGACGCGAGTCTTCAAGTGGCGAGGTAAATATTCTCCATATTCACTGAGCCTGAGRTGAATAGTATTGTTTTAGCATATACTAACTTGTGTACAGAGTAACTTATTTTTGTATACAATAATTCAATAAAAACAAACAAACAGAAACTTTTAGTTTGCGTGACAAATTCACGCAAAGCTTTTAGCAAAACTTTTAGCAAAACTTTTAGGCCATACTTCGTTGCCTTGATAGGTATTGATAGGAATGGCATCATTTACTTTCATTTTTTCAATTTCCTCATCGGAAAGCGTAGCAAAACAATTGCCGGCAGATGCCATTTTGTTGCCAACTCAATATTCCGAGATTCAGAGGTGAATATCGTACAATATTCACCTCCAATTAACCAATGAGGGMACACGTTCTTAGGAAGTACACAAGTTGGTATATGCTAATCAATATTATACAAGACGATCTATATACCTTACTTTCCAGGGCAGTGCATGATCTAACTTCAAATTTTCTAATATTGATGGAGCTACATAGGTAAATCCCTAGAAACAGAAGTGGAAACATTAAAATTAATATTATCTACTTATCTACATTATCTGGTTATCATAAGTTGCAAACATTGCTGAATAAATGTTTTAAACTACATTTACTTTCCTAAGAAAATAAAAAAGAAACTGGGTAAGAAAAAGAAAGAAATTGAAAACAAAGCAATTCAAAGGTAAGAAAATCAAAGGAAAGAAATGGAAAAGGAGAGGAGAGATGACAGCCTAATTAAAATTCCAGGATTAAAACATGAAGACTAAGGGTGCTTACCATTAAGTCGAACCGACCAGTCCAAGTGGCCAGTTCTAAAATAGTGCAGGTCAGTTCTTATTAGTTTTGAGACCTTGGTTAACCAGTTCTAAAGAACTGCAAATGCCAGTTGAGAACTGTCCACTCAGACTGATAGGTTTGACCTAATGGAAAGCGCCCTGAAATTCTAGTATTTTTTTACCTGGAAAATATTACTCGCACTCTCACTAAGCATAGAGTCATCAGGAGAGTCAACAGGAGTCTGTCTGGTAAACTTGCTATCAAATTGACTAACATCATCATCCCCAGTCTAAAGACCAAATACACTGCAGTTATTACACAGAAAATTATGTGACACCACAGGGTATTATTAATAACAAGGGTGTTATTTTCTTTACTTTTAATATTCTTAATTTGAAAAAAAAATCATAATGAGCAGTAGGACATGTTTCTAGTAGCTCTGCCAATTCCGTCTAAAGGCCCTAACAAAGAATGCCATTCCAGCCAATCTTTCATGAATGACAAGAAAAAGTCAGCAACTACAAGAGCAAGGAGAGGATTTGTCATCTACCTTGCATATAGAAAGTAAAACACCTTTTCCCAAAGCTGCAGAAAATGAAAGAAAACAAGGACCAACCCACAATCRAAAAACTATTAACACAAACTTTTGATGGAGGTTCAAAGAAATATAACTCTAGTAAAAGACAATGCTGTAAGGCACCTACAGCCAGAATTATCTGTAGGTTCAGATAGTGAGTTCAAAGCATAATAATCACGGATAATCACTTTGCCTTCTGCAAATAAATATTGCTAATAAATATTTGCATTCCAAATCTTTTTGGTACTATTTGAAAAATGGCCACATTGCTCATAAGATGAAAAAGAGAGTTTCACAACTACAGGAAGCATGAAGAGGAAGAGGTTAGGGCAATATAGTCTGGTATATCAGCTCTTCATTTTTTAGAATGTTTCATAGTCCTTGAACTATGAAACACCAAAGAGTGATGGCATACAATAAGTCTGAAAAAGATTAAAAGATCACARTATGTACTTAATCTGCAGCAAGAGACAAAATGACAGGGCTAAAAATAATGGCTTGTCATCAGATAATGTCTGGTAAGAATTGGAACTTGTTGAGTAAAAATGTTTTGCATTGCCARTCATTTTGACCAGTAACTTTGAGCCAGAAATGAGGTATGACCAAGCTAAAACTAATTTGGCCAGTGATCATGGCCACAGAATGACTGGCCATTATTTTAAGCCCTGCAATGACCTACGATTGATGGTTTGAAGGGTGGTTCTACTCTCTTGGAAGTAAGATCATCCCATTTGATGTTTCTGAAGAATGGATGACTCTGAAGAAAGAAAAGGATATACTCACTTCACAGATCATATGGAATAGATCCCGGGGGGAGGGGGGGTACTCTTGCCCGTTTAGGGTAGGGATGTGCCGCTGAGCCCTCTGATGCCTGACCCTGTTCCWGAGTAAAATCGCTGAAATTCATACCCTGTTCCAGAGCAAGATCGCTGAAAATCATACCCAGTTCCGGTATTGCGAAAATGGATACCCTGTTCCAGAAAGGAGAGCGCGCGATTTCATATACCCTATCCCAGAGCGAGCGCAATTTTATATATCCTGTTCCAGAGTAGAATCGCTGATAACCATACCCTGTTTGGCGGCACATACCTGTGAGCACCCCACCCCCCCGGGAATAGATTTATTCAAAGAATCCCATGATGCATTACCTTAATAGCTTTGGCATCATCTTGACCTCCTCCAAGACGTGACTGAGGATGTCTCTTCAACAACTAAAAAAAATTGATAATACATTCTTGATAATTATTATTCTTTTTCTTATGTTCTTATTCTTAATTATTTTAATAATTTTTGTAAGTGTTAGTTTTTTGTCTTGAGAACTGATGACAGCTTTTATAGGAGTAAAATAGTTTCATTTGAGTTCTTGTTTGAGTACGTTTCTATTAAAAAAACTTCAAATTACACGGCAAAGTCACAGATCAAATTGTAATTTAGTGTTCAGTATTAAGTTTTACAGAGGGATGAAAACTGGAGAACCTGGAATAAAACTTTGAGTTAAGGGTGGAACATAACAAACTCTGCTAACTCATCACSTTAGCGAGTCAAGGAATCAAACCCAAGACCCCAGAGGTGAAAGGCGAGTGTTTACTCAAAGAATCCCTGGACACMTCATTAATTGAGAGTGTGCTACCATTAGGACTAGTGACTAACCTTTCTGAGAAAGTCTTTAGATTCTGGTGTAAGGTATGGAGGAAGAACCAGCCTTCCTTTTAAAATCTRCAATGGAATAATATAAAGCAATTAAAAATTTGAAGTCATCTTAGGTAACAACTGAGGGTTCCTTACTGGACACCAATATGAAACCCTCAGTTGAGTGCGTTGAGGGAGGGAGGGAAGGAAGGAAGGAAATCATATTGCTTGCATGGCAAACTTGTGTAAATCCCTCTATTGGGTTCCCTATGCTCCTCTTACGTCTCGTTGTCAAGACTGTTGCATTATGCACATTAAATTACTCCTTAAGAGTAAATGGTTTGAACCCAGGTGTTGAAGTTTGGTGTGAAATGTGATCATCCGGGTGAGTGTAGTCTTSAGAAAGATTGTTGTTGGTGGTGACTTATATTTCGACAASCTGATCGGAAGTCATCTTCAGAGTTCAGTGAGAAAATGAGACATCACTCCTTATATCTTGACCTTCTCATCATCATGTCTCATCAGAAACTATTTACTTACACTGTGAAATAAGCGGATATTCTATATTGATTTGTTTAGAAAAGTTAGTTAACTTGTTTTCATTCCAGTCTGTATAGAAAGACTGACACATTTTTTGGTGTTGTCCGCTGACTTTTCAATGTGAATCCTAGGAATTATCTTGAATGGCATAAAAGAATTATTCTTAGTTTGTTCATATCAAATTTAAACCTACCTTTTTATGCTTCTCGTGTTTTAATATTTATTATAGTATTCTTCTCTAGTTTAGGAGTCTATTTTTTAATCTGATCCAACCTGYATCGATCTTTCCTTGATTCTTTTGAATAAAAAATCTGAAGGTAAAGCTATGTGCGAGTGTGACCATACTCAGTGCTAGACATCATCCCACACCGAACAGCGAAATTCCATTTCCTGATATAGCTGATTTAACCCTTTAYTGGATGAGAAGTTTGTTCATGTTCGTACGAAGTCCGAAAGTAAATTTTGTGTAACGTTTGTAAGCAGATGACGAAAGATGATTGATAAATGTTTAATTATCGATCTGCGAACATATTAGTGAGTGAGTGAGCSAGTGACATATTTGCATTATTCCGACCCCTCACAATAACTTGTTTCTATGCTTCGCGTATTATCCACCAGTTTAAAAGGAAAGAAAAATGAAAGGAAGGAAGAAACAAAGGAAGAAAGGAAGCAAGCAAACGAGGGAAGGAAGGAAAAAACCCGACGAAGGAAGGAAGAGGGGAGGGAAATCAAATAAAGGTTAGAACAAATGAATGGAATCAAATTAGGAATGAATTAACRAAAGTGACAGGAGGAAAAGTGAAAACACTTTACACAAATGATATCATTAGTTAAATAAATATTTCCAAATTACATATCATTTAAAGGAAAAATAACTAGCTAAAAACTAGTGTGAGCTGTGTCATTGTTTCTAATGAAATAGTAATGATAAAAGGGTAAATTTTACACTGTGAAAAGATGAAAAACATTGAAGTAATAGACGATGGACTACACTGTAGYGTCCGAAACRCCTGTTTTTTKATCTTTTCACAGTGTAAAATTTACCTTTTTATCATTACTGTATCATTTAAATGGTAAACTATTAATAACAAAGTTTATATTTCATTCATGTTCTCATATYATACTTGCCTTGTCTATTGTTTTCTTTCTACTCTCGGCACAAAATGGTGGCTAAAAATTAGATCAAAATAACACTAAGAAACTGAAATTATCTTTGAACTTTAACAAGGGTGACACATTATAGCTTTGTMGTTTACTAGGCTGTACCTTGCTTGGTAGAGGTTTCCTTATTTCCCCCTGTAAACAAGAGGGAAAGGAAACCTCTGCACAAATCTGATAATGGCACATAATCTGAAATAGGGCAAACATTCTACCTAAGGTGAAGAGGTACTGACTGACAGTACATTTATTTCTGTGATTTGAATTTAAGCTTTGTATATATTTGAGGACAAACTCTAGAATTTTTACTTCCTAACAGGGACCCCTCGCATGTGATGTCAAAGCAGCTCAATTTGAAAGACAAAACAAAAGAATTTCAATCTCCTGAGAATTGGAAGCCTATTGTTGTCCTCCAAATTGAGCTGCATTCCAACTAGCTGCAAGGGGTTTATTGAGATGCTTTCTCAGATGACGAAAGKTTTTTTGCTAATTAGATTAAAATTCAAAACTATTCCCAGTCCCTTGCTCGTTTCCACACTGGAGATGAACAAGCACTTTACTAAATATCGCAGGCTCAACATAAAAACGAGGCATTTTTGGGCAGTGTTTATAAGAAACCTTTGGAAACCATAGAGTTATAGGTGATTTTGTAATCCCTAGAAGAAAATATTTTGTATGCAGTGAGCTATATATTTTTTCAAAAAGTTCTAATTCTGCTCACAGACTAAAAGATACTTCAAAGTATTCCTTTATTAAAATAATTTCAAAGTTTTTGTGTGTGTTTTCCTTAGCGAGCGTAAAATTTTGCCCGTAAATGCCTCATTTTCGAATCTGAGCACACAACCTATGATATTCAAGATTTGTAAGACTTACGCTGCCTGTCAGCATGTCATACATTAATGCTCCAAGGCTCCACCAATCTACTGCCTTGCCGTGACCACTGCGTGTCAGGATTTCTGGTGCCATGTATTCAATCGTGCCACAAAAGGTGTGTGTCAAGTTGTTCTCAAAAACAGACTCTTTGCATAGTCCAAAGTCTGTGAGCTTTACATGCCCTAATAAAATAATGAAACAGATTTAATTATCTTGTTATGACATTGCATCTAATACAGTATGCAGAAAAATGAAAACAGCGTGGAAAAATGGGAAAATTTTGGAAAGTGGAATGATGYGATCTGGATCTTGAGTATGATTCGGGATTTATAGGTATGAGTGATGTTTTGAATGTTTTCAAAATTGGACGGGCCTTTAGTTTTTATTTATAAACTAATAGCTTAAATACACATGGTACTGATATATCAGTTTTTCGAAAAGGAGAAATATAGGTGTTTCATGAATAATTATATGATAAAATGTTATATTTATAATTYATAATTCCAGTGATTTAAATTTACGTAAAGCGTACAATCAGGATCAAAACGACCTGGATCGAAATGACTGTGGATCGAAGAGACCAGATACCACTTATTTTGGGTATTTTTTCAAAAATTGTACAGGAAATGACATATTGTGCAGAAAATAGTGTCRAAAATGACAGTGATTCAATGCAATTATTGGTCAAAAGCGGAAATCTCACCCTCATACCATTTTGTTACATAATCATACACTTTAATAACTTTAGATTTGAATATAGAGCTTCATGTGCTGTGATTGGTTGAGCGACCAGGGATTATCAAGTTGTGATTATGAGGTTTGCCCAAGTTGGGAAGAGCGAAAGTAATATTTAGCTCTTTTCTCTATCTTGAATTTTGTTCTGATATTCAAGTCTACAATAATACTTAGCTAAAACTATGTCTCTGTAAATATTCACTGATATTCACTTGGACTTGGGCAAATAATAATGACACACTTACACACTTACACACTTTTTACACACTTTGTTTTGTCCCCTTAATTAATAGCAATAATAGTCTTGCTATATTTTTTTATGAAACAAGAGTTGGATAAGAATGAATTTGCAAAGAATTCTGGTAGTAACTTACCAGTAGCATCCAATAAAATATTTTCTGGCTTTAAATCCCTGTTATAAAGAAAGCCAATATTAACGACAGACATTTAAATAATAGATTACAGTTCATCAGCGAAGCATGCCATGCATATTTTTAGAATGGAGTTTAAAAACCAGGATCTTGGGGGATGGGGGGAGGTAAATTATATTTTCATATGTTCCAGAAGTACACTCTTCTGTAATCATTTGTTATACTAGTGATGCATACCTGTATATAATACCCATCTTGTGTAGATGTTCCAAAGCCATTGAGATTTCAGATAAGTAGAAACTAAGAATAAAAGGAAAGGAAACTTCATTAGTCAATCATTCTAATATTTCTCATATCCCAGAATCACCCTATTGTCCTAAATCTCTTTGAAATAAATAATAATTAGCATATTTACAGGGCTTAACATAAGACCCRTCATCAGACAATGTCTGGCCAGAATATGGGTATGACTGATCTAACTGATTTGGCTAATCATCATGACCTGTGACTGACTGGCTGTTATCTTAAGCCCTGACATGGTCAAAGGTACACACCATGCAGTATCTTCCATAAAAATTCCCTCTCTTTCTAGCTGCATAAACAGTTCTCCACCTTCAGAAAAAAGAAAAGAAAAATATGTTTGAGAAAGAACCATGGTCAGGGACAGATCGAGGAATGGGATCAGGGGGGGGGGGGGGGGGAAAATTTGACTTTGAGGAACCTCTATGAATCAGAGAAAGGGGGCCTGGAAAACTTCAGCATTAAAAGAACCACTATGACTAGCCAAAATAAAAGGGGTATGGGGTTGTGGCCATAAATCTGCCCATGATGGTAGTTTGATACATTTAAGGATGGTGCCTAACTAATTGAAAATCAATTATCTTTTAATGACTATSTGAATTGTTTTAACCTATCAAAGGGTTGTTATATTCTGGTTAGAAAAGTAGGGGTCACCCTGCATTTAAGAGAAAAAATAAAGCTTAAAAATCGTTAAAAAGTGATGACGTCATGATTTTACCAACACGAAAAAAAACTACTCTATGACTCTAATAGTTGGCTATACAATATATAAATTTTTAGCTTCGTGCTCCTACCCTACTTTAAAAACCAATTATTTTTTATGATTTTCATWTCACAAGACTAGTTTGGCATTTACCTTATCATTTAAACAAAGAAAAAATAGGGGTATCAAGGGGTTTTTAAGAAATACGAATTTTTAAAGAATACCATTCGGGATAAATCTTATGCCGAATATGTGACAAGCGTTACACAGCATACAAAATGGCGTGACAAACTCTGTTTTCGGMACGTTTGCAAATACTAAGGCATGCTGCTTCCCTGCCATGCCAGCGAAAAACACAGAGAAAAACTCAACATTTTCAAGCTTTATAGTTCCAGGAAGAATATTGGGTTTGATGTAGAGTTATTATTGACTTTTTACTTTACAGCAGAAAGGAATTTCTGAAACATTTGGTACGTTATAAGATGATTTTTTAGTTTGAAAACTCTGAAGTAGAAGACTTTCATGATGAAAGTATTTAGCAACCAAAAAAAGATTTTCAAAACTATAATTACACACCTAATATATATTATTGGAAAAGTTTCAATTTGATGTAATATTTCAAACACGCGAGAGAGTTCTTCCTCCAATTTCCAAACACCGAAAAGTGAGTTGAAAAAATGAGGCGCAGCCGGGTTTTTTTAACTGACTTTGAGGTGTTT